CTTCCTCTGGAGTGTGAGCACCAGGGTGTTGGCTCCGTAGTTGGGGCACACGGGCTTCACTGTGGCCTGTGGGATCTTCCCAGACCGGGGACTGAACCCCTGTCCCCTGCACTGGCAGGCGGATCCCTAACTACTAGACCACTGGGTAATGCAAGACTTCTCTTCGATTATTTAGTGATTTAGACCTTAAGTTTGCTACTTTGCCAAAGTACAACAGATTAAATTTAGGCGTAAGTGCTAAACTGAATAGTAAGGACTGATTAGCTTTTAGTAACAAAGAACATGGAAGAAGGGCTTCCCAGGTGGTGCTAGCAATTTTTTATTAACCTGCCTGCCAATGCAGGAGTCGGAAGAGACAACGGGTCTCGATCTCTGGATCGGGAAGATCCCCTGGAGGAGGGCACGGCAACCCAATCCTGTATTCTGGCTTGGAGAATCCCCATGGACAGAGAAACCTGGTGGGCTACACCTATAGGGTCACAAAGAGTCGGCACGACTCAAGCGGCTAAGTGCGTGTGCACACACACACACACACACACACACAACATGGGAGGAATTGCAGGTTACCTACACACGGCCAAGTGGCCCACGCCTGCCCTGCTGTTCTGAGTCCTGACCGCACCCTGGTCAACTTTAGCCGCTCTCCTGGGTAAAACCTGATGCAAGGCCAAACATTCCAGACTGTGGTGTTGTCACGCCCGCTGATGGCGCGGTGCCGTCCCTCCTGGCCGGGGCCGGGCGGATCCAGGGCTGCAGTGGGGTCTGCAGGACTGGCCATTAGGAGGTGGCCCGTCTGCCGCCCTGCAGCAGGCTGGGGACTGTGAGGCGGCAGCACATGCTCTCTTGCCAGCGACCCCGGGGTGGGCACGGCAAAAGGCTCCCTTTATTCTTCCTTCTTCTCCTCCTCTTGTCTGGGGAGTCTAGCTCACTGGTTGGAATCTCTTAAAAAATGCTTTTACTCCTACTTTCGAAATGCGGAAATTAGCCTCTCCTCAAACTGTAGCATAGGGAAATATGTAACACTCGGACAAATGAGGAGCCTGGCGGGCTACAGTCCATGGGTCACAAAGAGTGGGACACAACTGAGCGTGCACGGACAGGACAGGTGAGAAAGAGCAGTGATTATACAACATTATGTGCATTTTAGTATTATTTTGGGAAAAATAGTATATACTTATGGGCTCATACACACTGGAAATAGATTGAATAGAATATATATCCCACAAAGCTAACAGTATTTTTTTTTTCTGATTAGGAGAATTCAAGTGGTTTCTCCTTTCAGTTTATCTCCATTTTATGATTTTTCTTTAATAAGAATATATTAGTAATAAGGGAGACAAAGAATCTTTTTGTCATTGCTGTTGTCCTGTTCACTGCTGCCCAGGTCCTAGAAGGATGTCTCCTGTATAATAGCCTCTCAATGAATATCTGCTGAATGATTCAATGTTGCAGATTATTGCTTCCACTGGGAAGAGGGGGCAGTAAAGAAGGCTTTGAATTCACTGTTCCCATCAGATTCTTCTGACAGCTTTGGCTTGTCTGGCTCACAGGTTAGAGTTCTGTTAGCATATGTTAAAAGCACAGTTCCTGTCTTTCTCAAAGTCACCTATGACTTTGGACTTCATGGGGCATGCTGGATTCTCTCCAGCACAGGCAGGTTCTGTCTGCTCACCCACGAGGGCTGATGACACCCCGGTCAAGCCAGTCAGCGTTCCCCTGGGGGCGAAGGGCCATGCCTGTGACCAAGAGCTTGGTCCCTGCTGTTCAACACCAGTCTGGCCAAGACAGAGAGGAAAAAACAGTTCTCTCCTTGGACCATAGCTATCGCTGGATTCAGTGCCCTTAGATACTGGGGTGGGAAAGTGGTGGGAAAGGCCATTCACCCTCCAAGAATGTTGAATAACCCTTCATACATTTAGTTCACTCGGGTGAATTTCTGTCCTTACTAACGAGCCTGTGATGGGGGTCAAGTGCAAAGGAAGAATTAAATCTGGTTTTATTCAAGTTACCTAATTAATTCTGGCACTTTTGTTTCCAAATTTTAAGCACGGCCTGGGATTCTCAATGAAATTGAAAGCGAGTGGAGGGGTTGCTAACGTTGCGGCCACAGGGTCCTTATTCCCTGTCCGTCTTCATGGACTTGCTCTGAAGAATGAATTAGCTGAAGCCCCAGGTGCAGGGTCAGGACTGTGGTGAGTGATGAGCGAAGGGCAGCTCCCTGCCCACTGTCCTCTGTCCCTTCATAGCCTCCCACACTGGGCGCTTTCCTGTGGAGGCTGGGTAGCTAATTATTTCAAGCTGGGGTGGGAATTCGGCTCTGAGGATTGACTGGTGGATGAGAATGTATATTGCTGTGACCAGAAGCTGCACGGCTCCGCACCTTATTAAGCGTCTCGGTGGCGTTTTTGTCTCTCCCTCCTTCGAGCTACGCTTCTGTCTACACCCCTCCTGGAGGCTGCCTCACTGTCCTCTGTCCCTTCATAGCCTCCCACACTGGGCGCTTTCCTGTGGAGGCTGGGTAGCTAATTATTTCAAGCTGGGGTGGGAATTCGGCTCCGGGGACTGACTGGTGGATGAGAATGTATATTGCTGTGACCAGAAGATGCACGGCTCCGCACCTTATTAAGCGTCTCGGTGGCGTTTTTGTCTCTCCCTCCTTCGAGCTACGCTTCTGTCTACACCCCTCCTGGAGGCTGCCCCTGGTGATTCTGAAGTTTTCACACTACCATGCATTCTGTGGGAACTGAATACATTTCTTCAAGATCTAATGTAAAAATAAGTCCTGGCCCCAAGCCCAAAAGAAGTCACTGGGAACCCAGTCAGGGCTGGGCAGCAAGCCCGGAGCCAGGCTAACGAGACTTTTACACTGGAGGCCTTTCCTTTCAGCTGGGTCTGTGTGGGACTCCTGTGTGAGGAAGCCCCAGAGTGTCCCGCAGGCTCAGGCCAGTGCTTTTAGCCTGTGCCTGGGTTCCCGAGGCAGGGTCGGAGCAATACTGAACACCTCGAAGTCCAACACACTCCACAAATGACAAAGCCCCTGGCCAAAGCAAGTGTTAACACTTGTGTACATGTGTCTCTTTTAAAATCAATGATTACATGGCTTAAATAGTGCTTTATATTGGACTGTAGTTGCTTTATGATGCTGTGTTTCAGTTGTACAGCAAGTGATCCAGTGATATACATATATATCTATCTACACATATAATTAATATATATATCCATACAGATATATCTATATGTCTATATATGCATGTATATCTATACATATACATCTATATATCTACATATATAATTATATACATCTATATATCTATACAGATACATCTATATGCCTATATATGCATATATATCTGTATATATAGACATTTCTATATATCTACATATATAATTAATATATATATCTATACATATATATCTATATGTCTATATATGCACATATATCTATATGTCTACATATATAATTAATATATATCTCTATATCTATACAGATATATCTATATGTCTATATATGCATATATATCTATATATAGAAATTTCTATATATCTACATATACAATTAGTATATATATCTGTACAGATATATCTATATGTCTATATATGCATATATTCTTTTTCAAACTCTTTTCCCAGTTAGGTTATTACAGAATATTGTGTAGAAGTCCTTGTGCTATGCAACAGGTCCTTGTTGGTTACCTATGTTAAACATGAAACATGAAAGTGCTCGTCGCTCAGTCACGTCAGGCTCTTTGCAGCGCCGCGGGCGGTAGCACAGCAGGCTCCTCTGCCCGTCGCATTCTCCAGGCAAGAATCCTGGGCTGCGTGGCCGTCCCTTGTCCAGGGGCTCTCCCTGAGCCGGGGGTCGAGCCCGCGTCTCCTGCAGCTCCTGCATTGCAGGCGGGCTCTCTACCAGCTGAGCCACCAGAGAAGCCCGTTTTACAGTAGTGTGTGTATGTCGACCCCAAACTCGAGTTTATCCCCGACTCCTGCACCCTCTGTGAGTCTGTTTCTCAATAAGTCCATTTGTATCATCTTTTTTAGATTCTGCATACAAGCGATATCATGTTTTTCCTTTAAATCCTCTTCTGAGTCTTTGCATCTTTTACCTGTATTTAATCTTCACTACTAAAGTTTAATCTCTTATCCTGAGAGGAGGTGGAAATAGGCAAAAGAAATGCAATCTCATTTCTTTCAATATAGGTTTCCCTGGTGGCTCAGACGGTAAAGAGTCTGCTGCAGTGCAGAAGACCCAGGTTTGATCCCTGGCTCAGGAAGATCCCCTGGAGAAGAAAATGGCAAACCATTCCAGTTCTCCTGCCTGGAAAATCCCGTGGACAGAGGAGCCTGGCAGGCTACAGCCCATGGGGTCGCAAAGAGTCAGACATGACTGAGCAACTTCACTTTCACTGTCATTTTTCTTTCAATATTTGTGGGTGTACTTGGTCCTTCGTTCAATATCTTCTGTAGTCTTAGGAGAACATTTTAATCTATCAGATTCAGAAAAATTTAAAAGGGACCCCTCCAAAGAATTTAGAGTTGGAAAATAAGATCTCGGAGGACGTTAAAGTCACCAGGCTCATTTTGTTTGGAGACTAGTGTTGGCTTTCCAATGAAAGGAGGGTGATTACTAAGAAAGGTAGTCATTGATGCATATAGAGGACAAGAAGGTAGGGACTTGTGTTCACTTTTATTAAAAGAAGTATTCTTCTCTTAGGTGAAAGTTGTTGATGTTAGTGCGGCAGAATGTAGTGCTTCTTCTGAAATAGGGAAGTGGTTTCTGTGAATTCATGCCAATGTGCAGAGGGGAGAACCAGATGGCTTTGCCAGGAAACTTTCAGGTCTTGGCTAGAATATAGAGAGAAAAAAGGAAGGCAAACACAGTGACTCATGAGATTTAGCATCATTGTTTGAAACCTGGAGGGAAGAAATGAAGTTAAATTTCACGTTTAGAAATTTTGAGTTTCCAGATTTTGAAATTACTTTTCAATAATGATTCTTTATAATATAGTATTAGAATCTCATTTTTATTTGTTTTAAGCACAACTTCAGAGGTGGCAAGGAAAATAGGCACAAACTTGGAATTAAGGGGAAAATAGAACAGCATGTCCCATCAATGTTACACTGGGGAAATGTTTAAAAAGGCCTCCAAGGATTATATAATTAGCCAAGGAAAAGTACCTTTTGTTTGATGCACAGTTTACAACAAGGCCTAGACTCCATGGGGCTATATGTTGATTTATAGATTTACGTCTGGTAGAAAGGTAACTCCAAAAATTATCTAGGAGGATGTTAACCAGATTTGTATTTAACCTGGAAATTTTGTTCAGGCCATCTCTTTTACAAATTTCTACAAATACATAGGTCCTCAAATGCCCTGGGAACCAACTTTACCATTCCATTGGCTCTTCCATCAATTAGTTGAACACAAGTTAACGTAGTCATTCTATATTTGTATGAATCATGTTTTAACTATTTAAAAGTTCCTCTTTGACAGTGGAATTTGATCTCTATTATTTACTAAGTAGGTTTCTCCTAATAACTTCTCTTTTGCTCTTTGATAATCCTGAATGGAGTCATGACTCGACTAACATTTATTTTGGTGGAGGCATCATATGTAATCCCACCTATATTCATCAAAAGCATTTATAAACCACCAACAAAATGATTTCCTGATGTCAATCAGTGTGCGAAATCTGTTCTTGTTCTTTTTTGTTTTAATTTTTGGTTGCGTTGGGTCTTTGTTGCTGTTGCGGGCTTTCTGTATTTGAGGCCAGAAGGGGCTATGTTCTAGCTGTGGCTTCTCACTGTGGGGGCCGGTGTTCTTGCAGAGCACTGCCTCTAGGCGCACAGGCTCCATAGTTAGGGCTTGCAGGCTTGCTTGCTCCAGGGCCTGTGGGATCCTCCTGGACCTGGGATCGAACCCGTGTCCCCTGCATCGGCAGGTGTCCACTGTGCCCCCAGGGAAGCCCTGTCCTCGTTCTTAAAGGAAGTTAGAATGAATGAAACTTCATCACAGCAATCTGGGAATTTTATCTAAATGGGAGAAAAAAAGCAACCAGTGTTAAATGTCTGATTGTCAATGAGAAGACCTTTTACATATATATATATATATACACACACACACACACACACGTATGTATGTATGTATGCATCTATCTATCTATATAGACTTTGCTGGTTTTTGTGCTAAAAGTTTTATCTACCCATATAAACGGTTTTCAGAATAACAACTAAATTGGTTTGAGAGGAAAATCAGTTCTATTATTGAGAAAATAACCTAAACCATAAACAGTTGAGTTTAGTTAGAATTGTTTGTTCATTGCCTGAATAAATTTGACCCCTTATCCTTGAATAATGAGCCACTTGATTTTAACTATTTTTTGGTGTGATACAGTTGCACATTTGAAATTCAGGGGATGCAGAATGATCTCAAATGCTTTTAACTGCATATACAGAAAAACAAGCATGACAAACTGTGCCACTTTAAATGCAGCAGAGACACAGATCTAGGGCTGAAGCAATTCTATCTGTCTGCCATTCAGACAGGTAAGATCTCTTTATTGAAATAAGTATCTGATACCTAGAAAGGAAATACATTTGCACTTGTTATATGAACCTGTCCAGAAGGTAGAAATAAAACTCCTGACAAATGAGCTTCGAATGTTTATCTCAATGTTTCAATATTTAAAATTAGAACAAAAATCTTTATAAACATAGAAATATTTATTCTGCTCATATAATGCTACCCATTCTGTAGTTAAGTCTTTCAGTTCTTGCTTAGAGGTTTGCATAAATGGATGGCCAGGAAGTTTTTCCTGATTGAGGGCTGTGGGTAATGATAGATAAGAACAAGTGGATTGTGTCTGTTTTAGGAAGTGGTATTCATCACTTTTGTTCTCCAGTCTATTCTGTATATATGGTGTGGCCTTTGTTTAACAAAGTTGGGGTAAGCAACATGCGCCTCATTGTGCTAGTTCCTTTAGCAACTGCTTCCAATGGAGTATCAGCCAATATTTGACAGAAGAGGGAATGCACATATAAAAAATCTAAGAACCAGAGGAAAATTTTATATTTCTGTGAATGACAAATTAGAGTTTGTTTAAGATGACAAAATTGTGATATAATTTTTTAAACATGATTTTACTAAACAATAGTGGCAATTTTGATCTTTTTAAGGCTAGCATTCCTGGTATTATGAGCTTTCAGGCATCTAATTGGAAACAATTTAAAATGGACCAACAGATTTACAAAAGTGTTGTGAATGCTGTTGTCAAAAACTCCCTAAAAATAAGTATAATTATATTTATTAGTTATTTCCTTTTAACTAGTAAGGAATTATACATAAGTATAATGAAAAATCTTTTATCTTAATGAAATATCTTGAGGTTATCTTAAGATATATTTTAATATTAAAAAAATTGGGGTTTGAAAATTGAAGCCAGTTTCTAGAATCATTCCTATATCTGGGGTTATTGGTATTTTTGGGTCTTCAGAATTGTTGTTATTTAATTGCCAAGTGGGTCTGACTCTTTTGTGACCCCCATGGCCTGTAGCCTGCCAGGCTTCTCTGTTCATAGGATTTCCCTGGGGCAAGAATACTGGAGGGCATTTCCATTTCCTTCTCCAGGGGATTGTCCTGACCCAGGGATCGAAGCCGAGTCTCCTGTGAAGCCGAGTCTCCTGCGTTTCCTTCATTGGCAGGCAAATTCTTTTCTGTTTCGCCACCAGGGAAGCCCCAGTCTTCAGAACAGGGGCTACATAAAACCCGCTGATAATGATTTCTCTACTTGCCTTCAGGGCTGCTTATCTCTATGATAAAGTTCTACTAGTTCTGCAGGGCTTATTTAATGTTAGCTGAGAGGCTTGGTTGTCTTGAACAAGCAATACTTATATAGCTATTTACAGAGGCTTCTCATCCAGCTTTGATCTATTAGGGAAAAATAGAAATGATGATCTGAGAGCTATTGTCTCCTAGAGCTCAAGAAAGTTGTTCAGGTTTTGTTTTTGTTTTGGACAACTACTACTTGAAAAAAAAAGAACAGCAATGTATATGCCTAACTGAATATGCAGAAAATAATAAAGACCCATAAGAGCTCAAAGTTAGTCCACAAGGCTAGATTCTACCATCAGCCAAAGATGCTGTTGTTTCTCTTTTGTTCAGAAATTTTCAGGAGGATGTTTACGTTGAAAGTGAAAGTTGCTCAGTCATGTCCAACTCTTTGCGACCCCATGGACTATATAGTCCATGGAATTCTCCAGGCCAGAATACTGGAGTGGATAGCCTTTCCCTTCTCCAGGGGATCTTCCTAACCCAGGGATTGAACCCAGGTTTTCCACACTGCAGGCAGATTCTTTACTAGCTGAGCCACAAACTTGCAGCCAAAACCAAACTAATAAGTATTTTGTTTCCCCTCATTTTTCTAATTAATAAAATGACACGAATCGTAAATAGAAAAATAGTGGTAGACATAAATTATAGTTCTCTTCCCTTTAGACATTTCAGCATTTTGCTCATGTCATAACATGTGACCCATAACTGGTATGTTAAAAAAAAATCAACTGGTTCCATTTTCCTGTAGGTAGACAGATAAATCTTCAACTTAGAAAACTTTTTACTAGGGACTTCCCTGGTGGTTTAAAAATATCATTTTCTTGAAGTCATTCTTTGGTTCTGTACACAAAGTATTTAAATATGACTTTCTTACATTAGAGCTAACCAGCTTGATTCCTCAGATAAAGACTTAGGAATGGCTTAAGATTGTTTAGAGTTTTCCTCAGAAAAGTCAACTTTTCCTCAGAAAAAGCACTGAAATGCTCACTGTCAGAAACCTGATGAATGTACTCGTGGTCATCCTGAAGTAACAGTTCCAAATGACCAGAAATTTTTCTTTTCTATGAAAGAATATGGACTTCCCAGGTGGTTCAGTGGTAAGGAACCCACGCCCCAGTGCAGGAGACACGGGTTCAATCCTTGGGTGGGGAAGATCCCCTGGAGGAGGAAATGGCAACCCCCTACAGTATTCTTGCCTGGAAAATTCCATGGACGGAGGAGCCTGGTGGCTGTAGACCACGAAGTGGAAAAGAGCTGGACACGAGTGAGCTTGCACGCATGAAAGAATACAGGGAAAGACAGAATACAAGCAGCGTAGCCCAAAGCATTTTGGGGGAGGGGTCTGGACATGGGTTTAGAAAAAGAAGAGGAACTAGAGATCAAATTGCCAACATTCGCTGGATTAGAGAGAAAGCAAGGGAATTTCAGAAAAACATCTATCTCTGTTTCATCGACAGTTGAAAGCATTTGGCTGTTGTGGATCATGACAAACTGTGGAAAGCTCTTAGAGAGATGGGAATACCAGACCTTCTTACCTGTCTCCTGAGAAACCTGTATGGGGGTCAAGAAGCAACAGTTAGAAGCCTGTATGGAACAACTGATTGGCTCAAGATTGGGAAAGGAGCACGGCAGGGCTGCCTGCTATCACCCTGTTTGTTTAACCTATACCCTGAGCACATCATGAGAAATGCTGGGTTGGATGAATTACAAGCTGGAATCAAGATAGGCAGGAGAAACATCAGCAATCTCAGATATGTGGATGATATCACTCTAACAGCAGAAAATGAAGAGGAAATAAAGAGCCTCTTGATGAGGGTTAGGGAGGAGAGTGAAAGAGCTGCCTTAACACTAAATATTAAAAAAACTAAGATCATGGCATTGGGCCCCATATCTTCATGGCAAATAGAAGTGGAAAAGGTGGAAGTAGTGACAGATTTCCTCTTGGGCTCCAAAATCATTGCGGATGGTGACTGCAGCTATGAAATCGGAAGATGACTGCTTCTTGGCAGGAAAGCGATGACAAACCTAGACAGTGTGTTGAAAAACAGAGACATTACTCTGCTGACAAAAGTCTGTATAGTCAAGGCTGTGGTCTTCCCAGTGGTCACATCCAGTTGTGAGAGTTGGACTGTAAAGAAGGCAGAATGCCAAAGAATTGATGCCTTTGAACTGTGGTGCTAGAGAAGATTCCCAAGATTCCCTTGGACAGCAAGGAGATCAAACCTGTCAATCTTAAGGGAGATAAACCCTGAATATTCACTGGAAGGACTGATGCTGAAGCTGAAGCTCCAGTATTTTGGTCATCTGATGTGAACAGACAACTCATTGGAAAAGTCCCAATGCTGGGAAAGACTGAGGGCAGAAGGAGAAGAAGGCATCAGAGGATGAGATGGCCGGATGGGATCACCGATGCAATGAACATGAATTTGGGCAAACTCTGGGAGATGGTGAGGGACGGGGAGGCCTGGTGTGCTACTGTCCATCGGGTCACAAAGAACTGGACACGACTGGGTGACTGAACAACAACAGCAACCGGATATTTAGAAAATGTTCAGGATTTAACAGCTGGAATTAAATTTAACAGGATAGCTTGTGTTGCTTGGTGTACCTGGTAGAGAGGTCTGCAGATTAGCTCTGGCCCACACAGAACTGACGAGAAGTATTACAGAACTGTGAGGCAAACTTTATTTTCATCTTTTCCATGATTGGCTAGCATTGCAGGTAAATTCATGGACCCAGGAGTCAGGCTGCCATAGTTCAAATACTGACTCTACACTCTCTAGCTGCACAACCTTGGGAGGGTTCCTTAAACTTTCTGTGCCTCACTTAACCCATCTGCAAACTAGAGTTATCAGTAGAATTTACTATTGTATGAATTAATCAACTTAACATGCACAGAAAACTTTGAGTGCCTGGTGCTCAGTATGCAAGTGGTAAATTAGCTGTTCTTATTTTCATAATTATTCCTATGTATGTACTTTAAAATTTCTCTTGTGTGTATAATAATCACCTATGTAGTCTTAACAGTTCAGTTCAGTCACTCAGTCGTGTCTGACTGTTTGCAACCCCATGGACTGCAGCATGCCAGGCCTCCCTGTCCATCACCAACTTCCAGAGTTTATCCAAACTCATGTCCATTGAGCCGGTGATGCCATCCAAGGTAGAACTATTAGTCTTAACAGCACTTTCAAAAACGTTCAGT